TGTCGTATAATTTGCAAGAAAACATAAAATCGCTTTTGTACTTCTTAGTATTTCAGAATTTTTTTGAGTGTATAAGAATATGGCAGATTCTCAAAGTAAGCTGAATATTAGCGGAAAAAACTATTTCAGATACCGTATATAAGGTCATAGCTGTGAAGGAAACTGATATAGCTGTTGGTATTCTACGACTTCTTGAAACAGAAAAAGTCGGTTTAAAGGGTTTTTACGACAGCTACTTAATTATTTAATCTGTTTATCAAGGTGGTGACCGAAGGAGCTGGGGCAATTGGTGTATCTGCCTTACTCGCTGGATGTCTTCCGGAACTAGCTGGAAAGAAGGTTGCATGCATACTGAGTGGTGGCAACATCGATTCCACCATGATTGGAAGATGTATTGAAAAAGGTGTGACTACAATGCAAGTTTGCCCGATCTTTATGTGTTGTTTTAAGGATTAGCTGTGGACAATCGTTTGGTTCGTTTCGAAGCTCTCATTTCTGATCGTCCCGGAGGCGTTGCAGAACTTTCAAGAATTGTTAGTGAAACGGGCGCTAAGATCAAAGCAATGGCAATGGTTTGTTGAACTACATTTCTCAACCAACGGCCACACTTCCTTTTTGTATGAAGCATCGCCTTAGGGGTTTGTAGCCATTCTGATCTCAGCCATTAAGGAACGAGCTTTTCATCATACCGAAGCATTCAATACACAGTGTAAGGTTATAGCAGAGACACGGGGGATAGACCACGCGCTGGAATTGAACAGCAGTTTGAAGAAAAGGTAAGAAACGATGTTTTGATATTGAAAAAGGGAACGGTTACCATTTAGATGTTGAAATTTCTTCGAGGAGAATTTCTTTAAAGTAAGAATCATTGCAAATATAACATTTCAGGTATGGCACAGACTGTAATTTCTTCACGATCCGTGGTCCACTGGTTTGAATGTTGGATATGAGCAAATTTATAACGTTAGATTCCGTTCTCTTGACAACACTTTGAATAAACCAGCCCCTCGCATGTTGTTTCTGTTTCATCAAACGTTTCAGTTCATGAAATTTAGGCGTAGGCTATAGTAGCGTGTTCTTTGCATATATGCATCGAAAATTAAAACAAACCTTAAAAAATTGCTGCTGTGATAC